TGCTTTTCCATAATTAAATAATCCAATCCAGTCCAATCCTAGCTCATTGTACCGTAACACGATAGAACACGTTTAGGATGTCATGGAGCGGCAGCTCAGAGCTCAAACACCACCATGTCGGAATATCTCGTTTTTGCGTGACCGCTGCTTAGACATTTGGCACAGCCTGTCTTCAGTCATCTACCAACAACTTGTGGCATCCATGCCAAGGCGAGTTGCAGCTGTTTTACAGGCCAGAGTTCGCGCAACGCGTTATTGATTAGGCGATCATAATGTTTTGAGTAAGCTACCCTTTAATGTAAACTATTGTATACAATTGTAAATGCTATGGAAATGAGTATTAGCGCTAAAGATAACGTGAAGGAGGGAGGAAAATGAAATTTCTTAGAGGTAGCATAAATGACTACTGCGATTTTATCAAGGAAATATTCACCCGAGTTCAGAGTTAATTAATGTGCTTTATAAATGGTTACTTCAGTTTCAGACTAGTTTTTCTGTCGTTCAGTGGTTTTTCAACATGACTGTTAATTTAATATTAATAGATAAGTAAATCTTTAATAGTTAATGCTTAATTTCTACAGACATTGTTGTTTTTCCGCAGCAGAAAACATGAAAGTCAACTATGCCCTCGCTGGGATTTCAGTCGGATCTTTCAGTCACTAGATGGACATGCTACCCACTTACAGCAGAAGAATAGGTAGGGGGGATGCAGTAATTATTTATGCTTTACATCATTGAAAGGGCAATATAGATAGAGGCATGGTACCGAATCAGCCAAGTTCAGGCAGTAAAGAATATTACCATCACATATTATTTCTGGCGCAGCAATAAAAACATTTAAATTTTTCGGAGCGAAGCAAAATGAAAAATTAGTTATGCCCTCATCGGAACTGGAACTTCAATTACTACCTGAGTGTGATGCCACTTACACCACGAGAGTACACAAGGAGATGTGTGATAATTTCTTGTAATTGAAATAATATAATTTCTTATATTTCATACATCTGAAACAGAAACACTTTCATTAACACTAGAAATATTTCCCTGATTAGGAATTGATAAGTTTTACTGATTTTGAAGTTTCCAAAGAGATAGCAATTATAGTACAGGAATTAATGCCACAAATAACTCAGGAAAAACTATATGAAGTTTCTTGATGTTAGAAGTAGGAAAATGGATGCTTACTCTGGATGTTTATCAGCGAAAAAATAAGAAAAGAAACGAAAGGAGGGAGAATGAATAATCATGCTCAAATCAGTGAATATGGCACATAATATACAAAGTCTAGTATCCAGCATTATATCTGTTTTAAACATTTAATTATTTTATTAGTGAAGAGGATTTTATAAAAAAAGTTTTTTTTGGGGGGGGGTATTTTACCAATAAAGACAGTTGCCATTATGAAGAAATCATCATGTATAAGCAGAGCTTAATTTCTAAAATTAGACAAGCCGAAGCCCTACGGAAGGTTGAACAAGAAGTCAGAGAGGATGAACAAAAATAAGTCAATGAAATAATTAATAATTAAAATGCAATGAAGTGTAAAGAGATAAATAAAAAATAATAAATTAAAATTAATGGCAGGTAATTAAATAATTCATTAAAATACTCAAGTTCATTTTAAGGCTCTTGCAGAATGAACAGTTTCATTTCAAATCGGAGAAGTAGTATCTCAGCCGGGCTCATTTAAACCGTCTCGCGTAGCTAAACGCAGAGTTCCTCATCATTTTGTATATGCTTTTCGATGGCATCATTCCTACTTTGATCAAGGCCTCGGACTTCGTTTGAATTAGGAGCTATAGCTCTTCTCTTTCTTTATATTTTGTTTTCTGAATTAGATTACGATTTCAGCATTAAAAAAACTGTTATTACTAGCGAAGTGCGTTTTATTTTACCATGATATTACATTTCTTATTGCATTGGCATGTGACAAGTTTACTATAAAATTATGCTAACATTTTTAGAAGCGTGTGATTGCAATCTTTGCATGTAAACTAATTTCCATAAATATGTGTTCATTCTAAATTCATAGCGAAACATAAAAGCAGCAGGCCTGCCAATAAATGATGTTTTCAGGAATTAAAATCTTCCACATTATAAGTAGGGTAATTATTCTCTCATTATTTCACGTGAATTAATATATCTGCACTATGCAGATGCAATTCCGAAAACATGAGATACTATCAGTTTCCGCAAATAGTAAAATTCTTGGGAATCTGTCTGAAGAAAAATAAAATCTTGTATCAAAATTAGCTGCTAAAATTTGGAAATGGCAGATAAGTACGCATATGAATGAATCGTTTAGTTTCAAATTTTTTTTAATATATGAACATATTTCATGTCGTTGTATAAAAGCAATCAGTGGCTGCCAAGAAAGAAAATTTTTTCCTACATACATGTAAAATACAGCAAAATGTTTTGCTGTTATGATAAAATTGCATATTCTTTCTTTCTCTTAAGATGGTAGAGTACTGGAATAGCAGCCAAAAAGCGCAATTAAAGAATTTTGTTTTGAAATATTTTAAGACCCTTTATGTACAAAGATAAATGAAAAACTGTATATAGTGTTCAGTAACTTTTGTAAAATTAAAGCGTGCTATTAATACTTAATGTAAAAATCCGATCTCAATGGCAGGAGCCGATCCAGTGAAAAAAATTATTGAGCGTTAATTTGGGGTTTGGTGCCTGGCATTTACCTATACATAAGGTGAACACGAGTTAATTTGCCTAAAATTTCTTCCCGAATACTTTAGTCAGATTACATCAAATACTTTATTACAATCAATTAACCAGTTTCATTTCTTGATATTGTATGTCCAGTTTTAATTTTTTATGATTAATTTTTCTAAAAAGTAGTACTAATAAAAAATTTCATTTTCCTCCTTTAAATTTTAATTAATTAGTATATAGTACAAGCTTTCTTTGCAGAAAATATTAGGTTTTTCAATATTTATTCTGTCAGTTATGTTATTGTTCTACTTACGGTATACTGATGCCCTGAAAAAGGTATACTTAATAGTAAACTATTATTACTTTATATTTGAGATTATGAGATTCAGAAGCAACCGTTATATACCTGCTTTAGAAGATTATTTTTTACGGCGGGCACTAGCCATTTTAGCCTTTGGCCACTACTAAGGCCTGAAGCGTTGGTCATTTTATCATGGAGTCACCTAATAGGCGACCTCCGCTGCCTCCTATGAAGTGACAGACAATTCACATCTATGCCTTCTCCTGCATTAGAACCCGGGCCCTTTGGTTCGGGAATCAGGTTCACAAATGAACTTTTCAGCCTGGGCGGCCCTGTTTCAAAAGATGCAAGTAAAAATGTATATCCAATGCTAATTCTGTTTAAGTTACGAATCCAAAAATTTTGGAATTTTGTTCTTATACGAAACTTATAACAATCACACCGAAGCAAAAACCATAGGTATTATTTTTATAATAAAACCGATCTTTCTGTTTACCCTGGTAAAATGCGGTAACGAGAGAAAAGTATATTTAAACAGTTTTGCTTAACATTGTCCCTCTGTTTGTGTCAAGTTGTGAATTTAATTTTTGGTCCCTTTCTACAAACCCGATCTTCCTAAAATGTCTTACACACACATATTTACAATGACAATAAAACACTTAAAATAAAAATTTTCAAAATTTATTTATTTATTTGTTTTGAGTTGGTCAAACTAATCAACACGGATTTTCGATCTTTATTCTACAGAAATAACAAAAAAAAAAAAAAAAAAAAACTCAGCCAAGTGAAAAACTTTTGGAATTTCTGAAGTAACTTTTCAAATTTTAGAAGTTTTTCAAAAAACGTTTTTATTTACTGTGCAGCTATTAGTAACGATGCATTTTAAAATCAAAAGATTTAATTCTTCATTATTAACAGCCTTAGAATTTCAAGTTTTAATGATATCAGATTTCTAAATCAAACAAAAGATTAAAGGTTAAAACATACTTCATTGGGACAGATCAATAGTCCCTGGAGAAGGAGGGATATCTGCTAAACTGATTAAAAGAAACATTTCCCTGTATTCAAATTACGAGATTTTCTTTCTTCCTAATTTTTTCCGCATTCTGTAGGCTAAAAGCATAAAATAAAATATGTAGAAGAATGTTTTTTAATTGCATGGGTTTAATTAAATGCATAAAGGACCATTTTTTGGTGATAATAGTCTTGATGACATGTGACAAAAACTTTTATTTAAAAATTTTCAGTTTTTACGCATCTTATTATTGGTTGTATCCGTCTCTTACATGTAACATTAATCGTATACGTCTTCTAGTAATTTCGAGAAATGGAAGGTACTGGAAATTCCTCGACGGTCGAGGGAAAACTATGAAACACGGCAGAGAACATCAGTTCTCAGTTTTTAGTTCCGAGGCGATTATGGAGTATTAAGAGATCTCCATGGAAGCTTCCCTTTTTTACATGAGCTTTGCACTGCATTGTGTTTAACGTTCTTTGTAGTTTGAAGTGGTGACTACTTTTTGTGCTATGTCCTATTGAGAAGAGCTGTACGAACGCTTTTGCGGAAAATTTCCAGAGCTCTAAAGTGTATCTTTTCGGAAAATAAGTTGTATGTATTCAACCCGTTACGTACCCATACGCACCCCAAAATATACATTAGTGAGCATACGAGTATTAATATAAAGACTTGAAGATAATGTAATTTACTTTTTTGTTTATATCTGTTAGTCTCAGAGATAGATTTTGCTTTGATGTTATGTTTTAACGCCCTAAAAATTACTTTTCGAGTTTTTAACTATATACTGCCTAAGAAATCATCTTCAAAATAACTGATTTGATCAAATATTGATGAAAATCAATGATAAAATATTTTAAAACTCCTAAAAACAGATACAGTTTAGATAATGTTATACATAGATTATGTAATCATTTGCCCAAATATTGTTAGGCCCATCTTTACAGCTTACATCAGTGTTACAAAAATATGGAATTTAACTTTATTTATTTATTTATTTATTTATTTCGGTAGGGCGAACGGCAGGTTTGTATCCAAACATGAGACCGCCGCATTTGAAACATACTCACTCAAAGACGCAGATGGAAGAAAACAAGGGAAAGCCAGACTGCCAGAAGAAGAAATAGATTGCCAGCCGCATTTCAGATTTATCAGGTAAGTTACACGTTAGGGGGGGGGCTCATGGCAATACGTTACTACTTCATACGTTGTTATGTATTTGTAATCATCGTCTCGCTATACATTCATAATAACCATATTCGTGTTTAATCCCAAGCAGCTTTCTTTATTATAATTCTCCAATTATATTATTGACCCATATCACACGGCGTTTGTTTCACGTGAACAACTGTTTCGGACAATTTTTCTGCCTGTTTTACTATTGAAAGAAAGACGTGCGACTTTTTCCTTCCTTTCGAAAAAAGTTTGCAAGTTGTCGTTTTCAACCAATCAGCTATCAGCGCCGAAAGCTCTTAGCTTGTTTGTAATGGAGAACCAGTTCCCCTTGTTAACCGCAAAAGCGAGCTGTGGTGATTGGCTGTTGTGACAAAGCAGAAAAATTGTTCCAAACAGTTGTTCTTTCGAAACAAACCGACGTGTGATAGCAGCCTAAAAGTAGCCTAAAAAGTACTACTGACGTTTTTAGACGAGGGAAGAAAAAGAACTGATGCTTTTTTGGATGATCTAGTACTGGTAGTTTACTAATTAATTTTAACTTATTTAATACATTCTTTGATAAGCTGCTTTTGAGTTTAGTGCATTTTTAGACAACGTTTATCGAAACTGGTACATGTCACAGAATTTAACATGAATTTAAATATATGAAAAATATTTACTTTCTCCTATTATGCGAACTGAAAATTTATTTATGGAAAAGGTAATCATCAAAATTTAAAATGCATAATAAAACAAAACAAAAAAAAATAACGTTAAACAAAATCCATAATAGAGAGTATTGCTAAGAATTTAACAGACAATATGTTCTGCTGAATTTACTTATTTATTTATTTGATGCTGAATTATTTATTTATTTGATACTGAATGTAACGATACATTTTGTTAAAGCGACCAAGGCATAAACACGGTTTTTTAGTATAACGTTTTCAAAATGTATAATTACCGTTTCTACTGTAGCTTTGGAAATTTTACTAACGATTATTCTTTACATTTTGCTAGAAAATCAGCAGCTTCTTTGTACCAGATTGCTATTGCACAGTTAAATGTTATGTCATTATATGCATTAATGAATATTTCTTTACCTTTGTACGATTATGTCGAAGTCCTATTAGTTTATCTGTATATGCAACTAAAGTGATAAATTAATTACAACCTTACGTATTTTCCTTTATTTTAGGATAGTCTTGAGAGTTACTCTATATTAGCTTTCTTAATTATTATACTTCGAGATGTCTCTGTATAAAAACTGTAAACTCTTTTCCTAATCTAGATTAATTTTCGTCTTTTCTTTACCTTTTCATGAGAGTACAAATGCCTTATCAAAGTAAATGCGAGCGACTATTGAAACCGTCATTGCACAGCTGAAAATTCAGTACTATACAACGTGTATTACCACTACCGACGTATGCTTAAAATGGGCTGAAGCATGTGATAGCAATGTGAACAATTGTGTTCATACAGTTCCAAGTTCCTCATGAACATGTTAAGGGGGCATACCTTAGAAACCAAGATTTTGGTCAAAAAAACTTCCTTTTTTTTCGTAAGCTCGATAAAAGTCTTATTTCTTATGTTTCCAAAACTGTTTGAATTTTGTTCCGAAATTCATTTAAACCGGAGTTATGATACTTTATTTGACACCTTGTCCTCGAAAAGCATACCGGAAGTGCACAAGACATAAATATTTAAAAGGCCGAAGTGGGTGCCAGAGTGTTACTTTTATATTCGGGGCTTTTAAACTTTTTTAATGCATTTAAAGACCAGAAAGTATTTTTATGATGGCAACAAAACAAAGTCCTAGTATGTTTTCAAGCTGTGTGTTATGAATTCACTAACGCATTTTCGCTCGTGTTTTGATTCCCTGTTTACATTGCTGATAAGCGTTTTTTTTAAAAAAACTTATTACTGAGTAATATTCATTAATTTTTATAGGTATAGATAGATATTGGTATAGATTAGGAATAGATATTGGTTACTTACTGCAAACGAGTATGAAAGGTTCGATGTTGACCGTATCGACAATGCGAAACGCCATTCCCCGATTTGGCTTTAAAAGCAGAGAAAAATTTTAAAAGCTGCGAGAAAAAAAGGAAAAAAAAAAAAAAAAAGAAAAAAAAGAAAAGGAAAAAAAGAACAAAAAAAAAAAAAAAAAAAAAAAAAAAAAAAAAAAAAAAAAAAAAAGAAAAAAAAAAGAAAAAAAAAAAAAAAAAAAAAAAAAAAACAAGAAAAAAAGGATTTTAAAAATTAGGGGTACAAACTAATTAAAAGTAGGTAATCGACTGTTTGAATTCTTCTCTTTATCTCGTTTTTCATATTTCGTGTTTTAATGCTAACAAGAAACACAATATCTTTAAACATTATGATTGAAATCTTATTCAGTTTAGTATACATGTTAAAAACACTCTATGTAAGGCGGTAAACTATTTACTAATTGATAAATGCATTTTTTTATAAAGTTATTATGTGTTAAGCATGAATTTTAATGAGAAAATATGCTTTTTCTTTGTTAGTATATTACACATTCTAGCTTAAAAAAATTGTAAATAACTTCCTAGCTTTAAAATAATAGTATACCCCCTTGAGAATATCAGTATGATGGGTTTGCATTTTACAAAATATGAAAATATATTATACTTTTTTTAACAGAGTGTTTCTAATTTATTGTAAATATTGCTGTTTTTTTTTTTTTTTTTTTTTTTTTTTGCTTGTTTTCTTACTTTGCTCCAAAAATACAAAAATGAATGGTCATTAAATAACTCAGCTTCTTCGTTTTTTTCATCATTAATTACTTTGAAGCCAAAATTAAACGCACAAATTTTAAAAAAAAAATTTTAAAGTGTTCGAAGGTATACAGCCCTCTTAAAAAATATCGCTTGGCCAGAAAATGAGATTTAGTGTATGTGGAAAACAGTACATGCAGCAGATAACAAGTTAAGAAAATTTCTCGAGCATAAAATTTATAACGAATTTTCGCCTTCCTAGCCGCGTTCCTACGTGGGTAATTAGAAACACATCCGTCTAGCAATCGAAAGTTCAGGAGTTCAAATCGCGGCAAAAGTGTTGCTGATTATTCTATTTTCCTCCTTCGACAAGTAACTAATGTTTTCACAAATTAAACAAACCCAAAAAGAACTATATGTGTTAGCATAAGAAAATTATGACGATTGTTAATAATGAAACTGTATAGTAATTCAAATTGCTCTTCAAGGTACTTTTGATTATTCAATGTAAATAATAATTAAAACAAAGATTCTTTCTAAGTTACAAAATCAAAAAAAATTATCACATCCTAAAAAGAATTTTGTGTGAAAACAGCTACATCAAAAACGCACATGAATACTAGTAGATATGTATGAAATACTAGTATTACTACTAGAATAAAATCACTAGTTGTAATTATTAGTGATTTTATATAAGCAAGGCAAAAGTTATTTTACTAAACATGATTTTCTTTCAGTCAAATCGGCCACAAAGGGGCGAGCTGGAGCCTAGAATCTGACCTTAGGTTTGAAAAGACAAGGATCAAGAAAAATTTTATTAATAGTTTTTCTCCTCTTTTCAGATATTTTAAACTAAACATTTTAATAAACGCATCTATCCTAATATCAGTAACTTACTCTAAAGTTTATAAGACATCAGTCACTTACTAGCAATTCCGATGAAATAATAAGTAGACAAATACTTTCGTTCTATTTTTTTTTAAATTTATTTATTTATTTTGAGAAAATAGAAAAGATTCTAAGATTACATGTAGAAGCCGAGCACTTGTCTAGCTATAAGCCAAGCCGACATTCAACAGTCACTTGACGCAGTCATATATGATAAATTGGCACTTTCTCAAGCTCTCACTTTAGATATCTGGCATTTCAAACGCTCTTTTATTATTCTGAAGGACATTAAAATTAACTGCATAAAAAAGAGCTATAAATCACGGAATAAGAGATAAACGGAAAACACAAAAGTAGTTCTTTTACTTGAGGTTAGAAAAGTAAAGAGTCACTCACCTGGTACTTGCCTTTAATGGTTCAGTAGAAGATATTAGTGGCACAAAGAAATTTCATGAATTATCTTTGCTGCTTCCGTTAATAAATTTTTATCTAATCCAATAACAAGTAATCTCATAATTATTTTAATTAATTACCTCTTTAGGTTTACGTTTCTTCATTTCTTTTTTTAATTTTAAATTACATTTTGGTCTGTTATGCTGTTTTAGGACATTTCATGTATCGTTTGAAAACCAGGACTTAAATTTATATAGTTTGCTTTATATATGTAAATTGATTTATACTTTACTATAAGTCAAATTATTTATTCCGAGTAAATATCTGAATGTGCGATTAGCTAGTACGTGGCTCTGTTACTAAACGTATTCTATCTGCATCATATAAAATTATTATTTTAAAGCTCTGAAATTCGTAGGCGAGAGGTGAATATCAAAATTAATAATTTCTAATTACCTTTTGAAATGATTACAAAATGTAAAAGCCTGGTATTATAACTATTCTGCTGCGAAAATACCTTTTTATGAATACTAAAATGCTTTTAATTATATAAAATTTGCATATATATAAAGATTTAGAAATTTATTTCTTTAACAAATTTATTCTGGATAAAAATAAAGCAAATAAGAAATATGTTTTATATCATGCTTAACAGAAATTATTCACTTGTTCACTATCATTCTAGTTTAAGTTTTTTCTTTTATATGAATTCTCCAATGTCTACTCCTTAAACCAAACCAAAAGTCGCCAGAAAGGTAAGGCAAATTCTTTGGCAGTAAATATCAAGAAAGGACAAAATATTCTGATATGAGTAGGAAATATATAAGTAATTTTGAAGCATTTTTTCCTGACTAATTTTAGCTTAGAAATAAACGAAATGATTTATTTGAATCGCTTATTAGCATATTTCTGGAAGAAACTGTGAAGGCAGTAACGGTTGATACGTTACAAGGTTTACTGCGGATAATAGTGAAAGCTATA